TCGGCCCCGTTCCGCAGAGGCGTTAATAGTTTGTTTCTGGTGGCGGCGAGTGCCCGCCCGGTGCTGCAGTGCAGCTGGCTGGCTGTGCGCGTTAAAGCGCGTCTACGCGCGTGAAAACCGTTTCTAGTAGAAAGGCAGATAGTGCTAGGAGAGGCGCCTCCGTTTTTTTACGCTAGGGTGGAGACGGGTTTGATTTTTGGCTTTTGGAGTAATGACATACTCTGTTAGAGCTCTCGTTCAGGTTTCCTGCTCCAAGACAATTCTCCTTCCTTGCCCCCGCGGCTTTCAAGAGCGAAGACCTTTGAGGCTGTGTTCGGAGCGATGTTATATTCCCGATAGTTCTCTAAAAATTAAGAACGGTGAATCTGTTCTTTGCTACCAGATGTGTGTTAAAATGGGAAATTCTGGCTGAAAGAACTTTCAGGTGCTTTGTAAAAATAGAGACTGTGAAGTCATCATCATTTTCTTCCAGCCTTTCCCATCTCACTGAAAAGGTCTCTGTTCATCTTCCTATCCACCTTGATCACTTTTTAAAATAAGGATCTTGATATTTGCTTAGTATTCTTACAAACGTATCTAAATAAAACATGGATTTCCCAGCCCTGTGAAAGAACTAGTAAGGTGCATCCCCTTCCTTACTGATTTGTCCTGTACCTTTTACGGCCACAATTGTGTTTGATGTAAAAGGTGGCAACTTACAAAGGAGCTGAGGAGCCAGCTCTTTAATATACACCTGTTTTCCCTTGGAGCTTGGTTATCATAGCTCTGCTTTTTTCAGTGAATTAAATGGTCAGATGGGTTATGACGCTGGGGAAATCAGTATCTGTAGCCAGAATAATGAAAAAATGTTTAATTAATCAAACCTTGTGGGTTTGATTCTAAGTATTCTAATTCTAAGTATCTTCATATTAGAAGATTTTAAAGTGTGACGTTAAAAGGTAATTTATCTAAATTAGACATTTTCAAACTGATCTCAAACCTTCTGGATGTACCCTGGAGAGCTTGAAAAATGATGGGCCCTAGTGCTGCTGAGGTGCATTTATGGACATTGAAAAAAAAGTTTTTCCTAATATTATTCAATGTAAGAAAACTTATACAACTGCTTCATGAATGTAATGTTAGTGGTGACTTACAAGGCGATAACTTGTCTAAAACATGCCTGTTTTAGATTATCAAATAGCTTGCTTCTGTCCTGAAAATCAAACTGTCATTTAAATCAGGGCTTCGAAAGGCTTTCACTATGGCATCATTAACCTACTTTGGTATGAACAAGTTATTATTATTCCTGGTTCACCCTAATGGCATATAAAGATGTTTTGCACGTTTTTATGTTTCTTTAGAACTCATACACAAACAAGCAAAATGCAGCTGATGTCTCTCATGTGCTAGAACCAATGCACCTAAAACTTAAATTAAATGCCTTCGCTTTCACAGTCCTTAACTAACCAGTCTCCCCTCCTTGGAAATCAAATTTAGAAAGAAGGAAGCATGAATACACTGTAAAGGTCAACAGACTTGTGCATTTCTAGATTCTGAAAAATGCAGTGGCTATAGTGTTGTCCAATTGTTCTGAGTCAACAACGTAGTAATGCTAATGGAATTCTTATTCCAAAGTTTAGTTGATCTCACCAGTTAATTTTTTTGTTCAGTATTATAGGGCCTGTGATAGACTACTTTCACTAGCAGCACTGAAGACTCACTTTGTTGAGCCACAAAACAGGTACCACTGCAGTAACAATAAATACTGCCCTGTGTTATTCACACACAGTATTTAAAACTTTGTAGGGGTAGCAAACTTCAGCCTCTTAAGATTTAAGGCAGTGATTTCCTGTTTATCTCAACAGTGGAAAATCATGATGTCAATGAGAAGTTAACATAGCTTCTGTCTAGCTTAACTATGTAGCTCACTTTGGTCTTCCCTATTTCGTCTAGGCTAAGATTAAAATAAGTCTAGATAGTTCCCAACCTTATCAAATGCAACACTTAGCCATTTTAACTAGTGTGCTTAAGGTGTGTACCACTTTTTTCTTCAGTATGTTCCCTTTAATTAAATTAGGAATGTCTGCATTTGTATTTTCTTCTCTAAGTAGATCTGACCAAACTTTTATCACTACAGAGATTGTGACAAAAATATTAAAAATCTGTTTGTTATTATTATTATGTGAAAATCTTCCAAGTTTTTAATATGGTTGGTTTAAAAAGCTAGTAGTTTTGCATGTTTTTAGTATTTGTCATATGTGCATCTTTGTATCATAAATGTTTTTAATAAACTACTGTTGGATAAGGATTTTAATGTCTGCCATAATGCCCTATTCTTTGCTATTTACATCTGGATCTTCCCTGACTACATTTTTATTTTGAATTTGAAATTGAACTATGACCAGTTAGTGTATATTCAATTAAATTTTATTGAGTAATTCCAGATGTTTAAAGGAATTGTGATAAACTGTAGCACAATATTTTTTAAACGCGAAGCTAGAGCATTAGCTTTAGAATATATTGATTTTTGTATTCTAAGTAGCAAATTGTAGTTATGAAGTCAGTCTGATATTTTTCAAGCCATGGGACTGTGTTTAAATTCTAATGATTCAAATAAGAATATTTTATTGGCTTAGTCTCAGGAAAAACTTGTAGTGCTGATCCTTAACTGACATACCAAAAAAAAAGTCCAGTGTGGAATATTTAAACCACACTTCAGAAATGTTTACACAGTCTAATATGTCTTCAAGATCAGTCATCTGTGAAAAGGATTACAAAGACACTATGATACCAAATTTGGATGAACTATTATGTTAGTGTCCTGAGCTGTTTGCTTTTCTGTGCTTAAATTACACATGGATTCTTCACATTCCTGGGCAATGTTTGTATTATATTCAGCTGTATATTTTAAAGTCCATAGTGATGGTCTTTATTAGTAACAAAAAAATCACATTTTTCTGTAAATAACATAATGCTGTTAATTCTTTTGCAATGATTATCCGTTACAGCAGTCACCTTTTGGCACACGGATATTAAGTAAACCAAACATGTAGAGCGTCAGACAAATTAGCTAACTGCTGTTAATGAGAAATAATTAATACAACATGGCACAGTTTGCCTTTTTGTGCTTCATCACCAACTTCTGAAATGCAGCATGAAGTCTTCAGCCTCTTTGTTTTCTGTTCTTACATGCACAGTTATGCTGTAGAAGATGCTTCACGTGCAATGTTACAGTTATTGACTGTAACCTCCCTGTTCTTCCTGTACAGGATACTGGTCTTTGGAAGTGTGTGAAAATAAGCTGATACTCTCTGAGAAATAAAAGTTCTTTATCTTTTCTTGTAGGTATGGGGCACGGAAATGAACACGGCCATGGCCATGGCAAAATGGAACTCCCTGACTACAGGCAATGGAAGATAGAAGGTACACCGCTAGAACAAGTCCAGGAAAGGCTGGCTAGGCGGGGTCTGAGGGATCCATGGGCTCGGTAAGTGCAAGAGCCTCAAAAACAATCTTGATAGTCCTGTAGCATCAGCCGAAACTTGTCACTGCGGAGGATTCTTTCTTTAGTAAAAACTGGGAAAATTTATCTAGCATGTTTTAGTTAGGTTTTTGTTTACTTTTTCGTACGGAAGTTAGTACCGTTGCATTACCTTGACCAGCCTTTGCATTTTGCAAGGCACGCTTGTACTTTGTGATGTTTTGTGACGATACCAATCAGGCACAATGACCAAAACAGTTAAGTAATGTCAGGTCTTGCACATGAGAATGTCCGTTTTCAGCAAAGAGATTGCGTGCTCAGATCTTGCTCAAGTCAGTGGAACGTATATTGACGTTCTGAATAGGAGTAGGAGTATTCATATACAATGGAGGCCTTTATTTGAAATGAAGAAATGTACTAGTATATGATGTGGAACTCGATTCAGCTCTGCCTTTCTTTTTGCTAAGCAATGAATGTAACTTGGAAAATAGGGTGAACTAAGTCATGGAAGATTAGGTTTTTATCTCTTAAGTTGTCCTGTTCTACAGTTAATACCTCCTTTCTTCCCCAGAGCAACTCTGGACTATTTAGGCAGCTGTTAGAAAAGGGCCTTAACATACTTCCTCCCAGCATGAATTATGTAATACCTTGCTCTAGTACTCTTTAACCTTGCAGAATAGGAACATTAAATGTCTTGTGCTGTATAGCCCAGTCCTTCTGTAAGAGAAAAGCTGCACCAGCAGCTATTCCAGGAGCTTTCACAGAAAAGGTTTCACCTGTTTGCTCTTGCTTCAAATCCCTACAAGAATAGAAAAATGCAATCTGTGAGGGGTTTGGCATTGAAAGCACTTTTCCCTTCCTTTGAAACAGTTTAAGGCTGTAAACATAGAGTAGAGCATATGGTTTTAATGATGCCAAGAGTCACTTGAGGTATGAGCTCTTAGGATTATCAGCTACTACCAAACTTTCCTGGCACCTGTTTCAGGTATGTTGCCTCTTGTTCTGTGGAACACGAGCAGCCTTCGACAGTTTTTCTTCCCATGCTTCAGATAAAACTAATCGTCTTCAGCAAGTATTAGGCTTACTCCCAGAAAAAAGTGGACACAGTTTAATATAATAAATTTAGTGTAAATTAATCTATGACTTTTGGTGCGTACACATCCAAGTACACTGCTCAAAGTGCTGCAAAAGAGCAAACTGGAAAAGAACTTGTGTCCGGAAGGAATTGAGCCAATTTCATGAGGAGTTGAAATTAAGAACAAAGTGCAACTCCTAAAGCATGAGATAATTCCTCCTAAGCTTTGCCTAATGCAAAATGTATGTGAAGTAATATTTCAGTTCCATAGAAGGACAAGCTTTGAATACTAGTGCATGCCAATCTTCCTTTATAAAGGAGAAATTAAAGTATCAAGTTATTTGTTTCAATAATCTGAAGGAAGACCACATTAGAAATATCTCACACTAGAAATCTTGAAATAGTAACCCTCTTTAGGGCGTCCTCCTTTATTAATGTATTAAGTTCCTTCTAGCACGGGATCAACTTTCTACCTTTACAGCAAATGTACATTCATGTACATATTCCATACAGAATAAGCTGCGTGAAAGATGTTGTATTTGCAAACCTAAGCCTTATCAACAAGTATCCTACACTAGGAACTAGAAGATGCTCTTCTATGCTAACATGCCTTCATCTTGAGTCACAGAAACCATCTGCACAGGAGTATGATCTGTGAACATGCTAATCAGAACTTGACCCCCTTGTTAAGAATGTATCTCCTGCTGGAATGATGGATCCGATTTTCTTGTTTCTCTGCAAATGTTTTTTCCCTGTACTAAGAGCTTTATATTTAAACACTTGTACATGTAAACTCTTGTAGTCAGTTACAGCAATGACTAACACCTCATTAATAAAGTAGGTGCAACACAGTGACATAAGACACTGTCAGCTTTGTAAATATTCTGTATCTTTTTAGCCAAAGGTCATCTCTTCAGCCTTTTAAAACCGCTTTTAGGAGGCTTTTTTGGCCCTACCTGACACTTAACTAACCTGTTGTAAGCCAGAAAACATCTGACACGGGGATAAGTTTTCAGTGGATGGAAAAACTTTAAGATTCAACTATGCTAGATACCGTCTAGCGTAATGGCTAGCCCTTGTAGTTACCCTATCCCTTGCATGTACTCATGTGTTCTGTTTTTCTTACAAACACAGAGTAATAACAGTTACATAACAAATTTGGGGTGGTGATTCTGTTACCAGAAGATGCTGTTTACAAGGGTTACTTGTAGCTAACATGATGTGCACAAAGGGTTACAGTTCAGATCCTTCCTACTTGTGGCAACTCCTGTTACTTTAACTATAGAAATGTTATAGTCTCAAGGTATATCTGCTTGAAACCTCTCCAGTCCCCTCCTCACCCTGATATTCCTACTGATATTTAATCACAGTGCCTCCATTGATCTTGTTTTATTCTTTGGTTGTCTTTCTCCTAGTAATGAAGCCTGGAGGTTTATGGGTGGCTTTGCAAAACCTGTCACCTTAACAGAAGTACTTACTAAAGGATTCAAGTGGGGATTTGCAGCTTTTGTCATAGCTCTTGGTATTGAGTATGTAATGTTTCCCCCGAAGAAGAATGGAGGTCATCACTGAAGATCAAGTATTGAGAGCTTAATTGTTTCTAAACTAAAATGTACAACAGCTTGCTGCTCATTCTATACCTATACTAAATATATTAAAGTCTGTCCATCACAGACAAAAGCATGTTTCTTTTGACTTTATTATATGTTTGTGGAAGGATTAAAAGTAACCTTTAGCGATTCCTAAATCCAAACCTGACTTCAGACTAGAGAAAAACCAAGATATACGTATGCTGTACCTCCCTTTAAACTACAGACAAAAGTAGGCTCTTTCAAGCCCTGTCAACAGTCTGTTGAATCAGATTGTAAAAGTGTGGTGTTTTTAAGAAAAATAGTACTGTATTGATTACAGGTTTAATAACAGTAAGTTATTTGTTGGTAAGTGGCAATGAACTGTTTGCCATTTCTTAAAAGTATAACTTCTTGAGACATGTAAGAATGGATAATAAAGAGAAACATTACAATAAAGCTTAAAAAAACTGCTTTAAAGTATATGAAAACACTAAAGCTTACAATTAACCCTATTAAAGTGTTTACTGGTTTGGCAGACCCCATGCACCAAAATAATCTGCTCTCAGTGTAATATCCAGAAATTAAAATTCCCATTGCTGCCACATTTATTAAGCAAAGTAGCATGTTTCACTCAGCCTTAACTGTACCTCACCCTAATACAAATTCCAATATACCTGAGTATATTTTTAGCAAAAAGTAAAAAAAAAAAAAAAATTAGTTGATTCTTCCTTGCCCTGGTGTAGAATTTAACCAAATTTGTGATAGTACAGAATTTTCATAGCTAGCCTCTTTATAGTTTGGGTTAAGTTTTACATATTTCCTCAAATTACCTGCTTCTAGAGTGCCTTAAGAATGCCAACAGTGAAAAAAGTAGTAAAAGGGGGCCTGTTGGCAGCATACATGCTCTCCAGAGCTATAAAGTAGAACTAGCCAAACATCATATTGTAAATCTTTATGCCATTAGTTACATAAGCTAAGGAGGCTACCATATCTCAGTTTTCAATCCAGACATAGCATATCTGTGTGAACTGAAGAGCAAAAATCAGACAAGAGAAAAGTAAACTTCAAATACCACTAGACAATTACGTTGTATACTTCCAGTGTAGAAGAACTGTAGAGTACCTTGAAGTTGTAATTGCAGCTTTACAAGAACAACTGCAGCTCTTAAAAAATAAAAATAAAAAAAAAGGAGGGTAAAATGCCTCTCTCTCTCTCTATATATAGAGAGAGAGAGTGCACAGTCTTTCAGTGAGGCTATAGCAGAGTTTTATTTTTGGAGGCAATAAAACTACTGAACAGTACAGCTGCACTCCTACAGAATTCTACATCTCTGCATGACGTTGCCTAAGGCACTGTTCATTGGACAAACAGCTGTTTTACTAAATTGGTTTTCTTGCTTAATTCTTTCTCAAGTATCCCTATGCTATTGCATCATTCCATGAAAAACAAATCACGAACATACTGTGTAAGGTTTGTTGCAACAAAACATTTCTACATTATCCCTTAGGCAGTCCTGCCCTGAATATGCATTTGCAAAGGCTAGTATTCACTGCTTGTTCTAACCAGGTCTAAGATTAAAAGGATTAAGAAAGCTCAACTTTCGGTGGTGGTTCAGAAGCACATGATTAGCAGAGCTGGCATTACAAGTGGTATCGATGAAACTTGCACTTCAGGTATGTGCTGCTCACTTCTGCCCTTTATAGTTATAATATGGTGTCCCTGACTTGTGTATGTGTGCACGCTGATTTGACTGGTTACCTGCCCCCCAACCCTATTGCAACTTTTCCAGAAGCATAAACCTTAACATAACCTTGATCAATAGTTGCTGTTTCATTTAGTTTCCAGTTGGAAACCTTGTTTTCATGTTCTTCTATATGCATGCTGTTTTATTTTGTTTTTTTTTTTAAATGCTTCAGAGTCTGCAGTAAAGTTGCCACAGACTCCTATAGAATTAGTCTTTTAAAATGATACAAGCCTGCAGCTTCATTGGTATGACTAAATATAGTTCTATTTTTTTTAAACAGAATTTTGTCATTTACGCTACCTGAAGAGAGGTTCACACATTCTTTTCAAACTTAGCAGAAAAACACATATGAGAAAAACTTACTGTACTCCTATTTTCAGCATACATAATATTGGTATGTTATTCACTTTGCTTGGACCAAAAGATGTAAGATATGCATACAGAAACGTAGCTTGATTGATATATAACCTAATGCATTCCTCAATTTTTTAAAAAACAGTTAGCTTTGTTTATCCAGATTCTGGTTTGTTGGCAATTACAGTACATGAAGAAAGTTAAGAATCAGTCTGTTGAAATCTTACACATCTTCACTCATTTCAGCCAGAGTTTCCAGAAAATTTGCACACAAGCAAGTCATCCCAATTTTATACAGTTCTTCCATATATTCATGTTTAAATGCTGCTGTGTATAGGGAAGATCATAGGAATCAGCCTTATGAACATTCCACACCGTAGTAGTATATTGGGCATATTCGCTGTTAGTTAAAACTGGACTGGTTTAGGTGAAACTCATTAATTTATAGATTAAGAAGGTGTCATTCAGTGATTTAATTACCAGAAAGTATTTCAGCCACTGCCATCAATGGCTGCCTAAATTTATGGTGAACTTGCCTTGGCAGTATTAGGGAATATCAAAACGTGTCTTCATTCATTCCCTAAAACAGATGTAGCATGTAATACTCCTTATACACACAATACTCTTATATAAAAGATTTTTATTTCACATTTACTAAAATAATACTAATCCTTCCTGGTAATGGAGTATTTCCTATGTAATAGGATAATAAGTACCAAACCTGTCTTCACTGTAACCATAGCAATGAATGTCCTAAAATTAAAGCAGGCTTCCTACCAGCACACATGAGATTATTTTACAGAGCAAAGAACAGGGTCACAAACAGCAGTGGCCACCTCCAGGTGAAGAACATATGATGGTAATGGCACAATCAGGAAGCTCATTCTGTAAGTAAGTTTTGAAAAACACTGATGATGGTCATAGGATTTTCACCTGTGCTTCACAAAGCTATCTGCATCATCTCAAGAGATATTCGTGATTTATTATTTTTGCTGACAGCAACTGTAAAATTTTACATCATTCAGTATAAAATTCTAAATTTGTATCATCCTCCAGACTAGTCTTCTATGTTTGTTTCCTATACCTTTTCTGTCCTCAGTTGTAGGCCAACAAAAAAACCAAACAACACTTCTCCTACTGAATTAGCTCCTTTTTTTTAAATAAGGAACTATGACATGTAATGAATGATATTAGCAACACCACTTATATAAACAGATGTAACGCACTCACCTTGATCATACAAAATCTGACTTTTAGATACATGGAATTTTTTTTTTGTTTTACTTAACTAGGACAATCTACAAAATAGCCCCAACCTGTTATGAAAGTAGATGGAGAGAAATCCAATTCGAGGCAGAGATATAAATCCAAAGCTCTCTAAATCACAGCAAAATAGGACCATCTCTTCTCAATCCTATCTAATCTTACTAGAACGCTCTCTGCTCTGCACTCATACTGATTTGCAGTTCTAGGACATGAGAACCAATCGGAGAAGACAATGTAGTATTTCAACTTAGAAACTTGGACACCCCCCCCTTCAAAAAACTTGTACACAGCTCATAAATATTGCCTATAAATATGCAAAAGCAGCTTCATAAGCATATAAGAATTAAGAAAGTGAAGGAAAAAGTGGAAAAAGTAAACAAAATAGTAAGTCAATCTCTTTGGCAATGGATGTGGTGAATGTTAATTATGAATGTGAATGTAGGTGAATGTGACTATTTGTATGGTCATTTTTGCAAAAAGCAGGTTCTTCTTTTCTTTCATAAGGCTGCAGCCATACTATCTCATTATATATATATAACCTCTTCTGTTAGCCTTATGCATTTGTACGGAATAGGTCCAAGGAGAGACTGTGAGAAGAGATTCAGTGGGCAGCCCTTTTCATTCTCAATCAGCTATGGCTACAGGCTTGGCAGCAGGGACACTGCAATACCCTTACTACCCTGTAATGACAGATACTGAGGCAAGAGCCTAACCATACCAGGTCAGTAAGAATCGAGGTACTTTTTCAGAGCACAAAACAGTCAATTGGAATCTGACCAAATTCTAGTTCAGGCAAAATTACTTTCTGCCTCCCTGAGTTTTTCCTCTGCTGTTCCAAGGAGTACGTTATTTTTTTTTTTTAAACAACTGAGCATTATTCCAGAGAAAACCATGCTTCAACTGCTCCATTTTAGCAGCACATACAACGGTTTGCTGGGTTGTAAATACTTCAAAGTCCTTTTTTCTTGAAGATTTTCTATCTATTGCATCCAAATTCACCATACATGGTGGATGAGGCTTCTGTCTAGTTCAGTTGACAAAAACAGGCCAGAATTTTAGATTTAGAGAGAGCAGCTCCAGCTGTGACACTAATGCCTCACACTAAGTCACTTGATGGGACTTGCCAGGTATACCATGGGAACAGCAGCACAGGGCAGAAGTATTGAAGATTACACAACAAACGGAAGCTCAACACTCTCACGTGCCTGTACAATCATTATCCTCGCCGTGAATGAGTTCAGAGGGGTACAGCAAGAGAGGAACGCAGGAAAGATTTGTTGCTGCGTAACCCCCCACCAAAACGCCCCGCCATACGTGCCCTGCGCTCACCAGTCTGCATTCGCTCAACGGAAGAGCCTGCTGCACTGCACAACTGCTGGATCTGCCACTCAGCGGCTCCTGAGGTGGGCCTTCGTCGTCTGAAAACCGGCTTAGGAAGCCTGCAGCCTACATGCACGTAGATTATGTACGCATGTCTGTGTGTACTGCTACCTATCAATGCGATTCCCAGCCTTCCCTTTCTGGGCCTCCAAGCTGAAGCCCCCAAGACACACAAAAACGCGCCCATCTCACTGATAGGACAGCACCGTCCTCACCCCCTCCTTCTCTGCCCTCTCAGAAGGGCCCAGCGGCCCCACGCTGCCCTCTCGGCCCCCTTTTCCCGCCCTTTCTCCCCCCCAGGGCCCCGCTCCGCACAGCCCTGAGGCGGGCGCGCCGCCATTTTGTGCGCAAACGGCCCCCTCAGG